AAAAAATAAGAAATATAGTGATAATTTGATTCTTCGTCGTTGTACTAAAAATTATAGTAGAGAAAATAGAAATTGTTTCTTCGTCTTTACAAGAAAAAGGAGTAATTAACTGTGACGCGTTTACTAAAAAAAATCCTTTTGTAGCGAATAATTTATTAAGAAAAATAAATAAGCTTCACACAAAAGCAAAAAAAGATATAATAATAACTTGGTCCAGAACATCTACCATTATACCTACAATGACTAGCCATACGATTGCTATCCATAATTAAAAAGAACATTTACCTATTTATATAACAGATCGTATGATAGACCATAAATTAGCAGAATTTTCACCTACTCTAAACTTCCGAGGACATGCGAAAAATGATAATAGATCTCGTCGTTAACGTGCATTTTAACATCAATTTTTAAATAGTAATGCATAAATAAATATTACAAAATTGAATTATTAGTAAAATTAAGTTCAAATCATTTCTTTTAGAATTCATTAAATAATTCATAATAATAATTAAATTATTTTTTAATTAATAATTTAATTAATAATTAAATAAATGAAATATTTTCTTTCATTTATTTGACTCTTATGATAAAGAACCTCTATAGAAAAGAACCTCTATACAAAAAAAAGCCTTGTCTTTTGGTCAAATAAAAAAAAGATTCATGTCTATTTACAACACAAAGTACAAATAGTAATTGATGTGATTTGTACTTACAAAAAATAAAATGATACTAAAATTTATACTTTATTTAGTTCAATATCTTATTTTATTCTATTTTTTGAAGTTTATGTTTTAGACTATACTAGTCATAATAGAAATTTCAACCAACTTAAAAGATCTCACAGGGAATCTAAACTACATTGTAAGTCAATGAGAATAATAAAGACTCCTGAAATTACTACAAGATCATCTTTTGCACTGGTTAGAGTTAAAATATCAATGATACACAAGTTGTCTTCTTCACATTACAAATACAGAAAAATTGATTGGTTCAATGTTCAACGGGTTAATAAAATCTATACTTGCAAGGTTGGATTTAATGCAATGTTACAGTGCAACTTTTGGGATATTCATCCAAATAATAAAATGTGTGAGAATTTAATTAGTATAATACTAATGTGTCTTTATACGGCAGATATACGCAAAACCTTCTTTGAACATAACATTAAAAAAATTGTTTTTTTAAAATAAAAGATGTAGTGTAGTCTATTCAAACATCAACAATCCAATGTTTATGAAACAGGCAGAGCAAAGGAGTTAAAGGTTAATGGTTGTAATGCTTTAAATTCACAATAAATGGGTATTAACCTACATTATTGTATTGAATCCTAACTATATTTAAAATCTCAAATTATTTCATCATTTAATAAACACGGTTACCAATTTGACCTAAACGTCTCAGCGTCTCGCCGTATTCTTGTTCTGTTGATTTTATTTTTCACCTTTTCCTTTTAAGTGAATGTTAGGGTAATTTGAAGGTTGAAGGCTGCATAGTCTCAAAGTTACAAGAACAAAATGTCACAGCTTCCATTATTACAATGGACACCATAGTAATGAATTTCATCATTTGTGAAGTTTTTGTGACATTAAGGATGGAGGACCTACGGTGTGATTCTAAATATGATAGTTGTGAACCATGAAACAAGTTGTCTCTCTTACCCTTTTTCTTTAATACTAATATTTTACTTTTAAAACTTTACTGCATGAGTTTCAATATTCATTCAACTAGGTTGTTAGATTTGGAGCATGGATTGTGTTTTGCAGGGTGTACTTAATACGTTTTCTGTTGTTCTTGCTATAATTATAGAACTTTACAATAGAAACTCACATGAAAAGTATGAATGCGTAGCTGTCATGTGACAGAGCAAAAGATTCCATTTTCATATACATCAGATTTTCATAATTGTTTGGTACATCATATTGCATTGGATGACAAGAACAAATGTTTCTTTTTTATCTGTGAGTTTCATTTTTTTTTTCCTTGATTTGGATTTGAGGGCAGTTCTGGATACAATGCAACATCGAGAAAATTGTACTTTAAAGAATTAAAGTGATTCTATTTCTATTTCTAGAGAAATTTAACACGAAAAAAAAAATTATGATGTCACCGTTATATTTATCGATCTAGATTATAATGGATAAAATGAATGGAACAGTATTTATCCTGAGATTGCATGGCATGCCACAAAACATATATGTTAAGTCATTGTTCAAATTATTATTAGGTTATTTTTTATTTTCTCACCATAACATCAGTTCATTCCTTTTTAATAGGATCAAATATTTTAAAGAAATAATAAATTTAAATAAAGTGTGTGGACTGATCTTATCAAATAACTCATATTTCGCGTGACTCTTGTTTTCTTCACTCTTATCTCTTTACATGATGATTTCGGTGTGGAATCTCCTAATCTCTTTCATGATGTCTTGTATGACATCAGCTGTGGTGTAGTTACTACTCTTGTCGTGGATGTTTGCTTCTCTTCTATACGCTTAGGATGATAAAATGGGCTAATCCACCCCATTTCGGCCCGTCCCGTCTTTGGCCCGTCAAAAGTAGGGTGGGGTGGACTGACCCGTTATAGTCATGACAGGTTGTAGACCTTGGTCCGCCCTACCAAGGGGCGGGTTGGCGGCTGACCCGCCATAATTTAGAAAAAATAATTTACTTTTTAAAATCAATTTTTTTAATAAATTTAATAATAAGATTATTATTTGTTTGTTAAATGATTCAATATATATATTATTTCAATTTAATAATATAAATCAATACATTGTTTTAAGAAATTATAATTTAGAACAATAATAAAATTTATATAATAATAAATAATAACAAATATATATATATATATATATATATATATATATATATATATATATATATAACGTTGAAACTTATAAAATTTATATTTTTTATATTGAAAAATTCAAATACTTATATATTTTTTATTTGATAAAACTTCACATTATTCTTGGTTGAGTAATTCTTACACTTTTAATTCACGTCATAATGATAAAAGTAATCAGTGCTTAGGATGAACAAGGAGAATATGAGAGAAAATGTTGTATTTCAGTGGGGAGAATATTTTATTTGAGAGTGAAACTTTTTTAATTCTCATTTTAAAAATTTTAACTTTATATATTTTCTTTATAATTAATTTTATTACAATAAAAAATTATTTTTTTATTAATTAGGCGGGCCGCGGGCTAACCCGCCCTGTCTTGCGAGGTTGACGAGACTTGGTGGGGCGGACCAAAGCGGACTGGTAGAGCTGAAAACATCAACCCGCCAGCCATATTATGACGGGTTGGGGGCCGACCCACCGAACCTGACCGTTTTGTCATCCCTATATACACTATTCTGTATATTGGAAGTATTTGCAGTAACAACCTTTTTCTGGAAGATGTGACTTGTCTTCGCAACTTTTTTTCTCTTTTATACGCGAAATAGTAGGTTTGGCCTCTGTATTATTTGTTTTGTAATTAACTATATTTACCCTTTGTTATAATTACTTCTCCACTCTTTAATTCTTTTTGTTCATCGTCTTTTTATCACATAAATGGTTTTAGTAAGCTTGTTCCTAAAATAAAAGTTGTAATAAACGTGTTTTATAATGAAGCTTTTGTTACTAATTATTAGTAAAATTATTCTTTATGATTCCGAATCAAAGAATAAACTCATTTACCATTTTAGTTTTTACGTCAATAAAATATTTAACAAAACAGTTTTTATGTTTCTTCGTTAATATCTTTAATTTTTAAAAATATTTCACGAGTGAAGTTGTATATTTATATTAGGAAAATAAATAAAAAATAAAATTTTAAGACCTTTTAAATATGAAACCTATCTACTTTCTGAAAGCCACTTAGAATTTTATTTTCTTATGAATTCAGTTTGATTTAAAAAAAAATTCTTATACTTACCCTATATTATGTCTAGAATCTTTACGTAATTAATTGTAATTATGTGAAATAATATATATGATTTTGAGGACAACTAAAATCATCTTTATTTTATAGTTGTGTATTATTCATTTACAAGTGATATCCATAGTATCTAACAACGCCATAACTTAAAAATAGAATTTATGAGTTATCTTCGTCACAATATAGTTAATGACTGAACTATTTCTTTTTTAATAAACAATATTTTTCCCGGAGAAAAATAACTCAATATAATCGTAATCCTTGGTTTTGAAATATAAAATGACATTTTTTTTAAGCTGTTCTCGCAGAACAAAGAAAAACATTTATGAGAGAAAGAAAGGAGAGAATGTTATATGACCATTATCATTCATCGGTTTATCAACATTGTAGTTGATAACGGATTTTGAGTCTAAGGTGTGAATGTCGTATAGGAAATCTGCCAACAATAAATAAAGTATGTGAGAGTTTGATTGGTGCAATGGTAGTATGTTGAAAAAGTCTACATGACAGACAAGCAAGGTTTTATGCATAAATGTCAATAATAACAAGTATGGTGTTATGGAAGAGTGCAACATTGTCTTCTCCATAGATGCAGTAATAAGAAATAATTTAATTCAAATTGTTTGAAACAAAATAACTATTTTTGAAAAAAAAAATAATAATGTTTGGTGTTTGTTAGAAAATATTATCTTATAATCTTATTATGTGATTATAAATATATAATATAATGTTTTATTATTTTAATTCATTATGGCTTAAAATATTTTTATTTTAGTTTTTTATCAAATAAATAAATGAATTTTTATTAGACATATATTTAAATTATTTAAAAATATTATAATTAAATATATTATATTTTAGAAAAAATTAAATGATAAATTTTAAAAAATTATATATATATATATATATATATATATATATATTACTCTCTTTTTTTCTTTTTTGATATATAATATCATGATACTTATTTTTTTATATTATTTTTCTATTTTTTTATCAATAATATAATAAAAAATTTATTTGATAAAAATAATATTATTTAATAAGAACATATGCAATAAGAATTGTTTA